GTTGTTTGAAGCTTAGGCACTTTGTCTGAAGATGGGCTGTGGACTTATAGTAAGTAAACCTCTGTGAGTCCCTGGTCACCCTGAGGCCTGTACTGGCCTGTGAAGCTGTGACACCTCAAAGGACAAGATAAGGATACAGCTGAGGACATTTGGCTCTAATCCCCATTTAACTACAAGGAGACTGCAGCTGCAGGCGCCACACTCCTACAATAAATACCAACCTAAAGATAAGGTAGTTCTTCTGATTGACATAACTTACTACTTGGGAAAATTCTCCCAAGGTCCTGTGAGATTGCCATGTTTTCTTGAGTATCCTCCTCCTTTGTTTGTAAACCAAATAAACATGGGCTGCCCAGAGAAGTCTTGGTCTAAACTCAGAGAATACTGAAGCTGTGAAGACAGTTAGTCCCTCCTGGAGCCCTGAAATCATTTCCATTGTCTCATTTATTTAAGCCTTCGCGTCCACTCACTTGGGAGATTGTGGGCCTGATCAGCCTGCAATAACTAAGGGTTACTTAACCTGATACGGAAATACCAATAAGGAGGTAAAAAACATAGAAGTTCTAAAGCTGAAAAGTATAACTAAAATTTAAAAATTTAGAAGCTTTAGAAGTTCTAAAGCTGAAAAGTATAACTAAAATTTAAAAATTTAGTAGAGAAATTCAAAACCATATTAGAGCAGGCAGAAGAAAAAAAATTAACATATGTAAAGAAAGAATAACTACAACAATTGAATAACAAGAAAAAAATGAAGAAAGGTAAATAGCACCTAAGGGACATGGAAGATACCATAGAACAGATCAACATATGCTTCATGGGGGCCAAGGGAGAAATAAAGGGCAGAGGGATCATTTGAAGGAATAATGACAGACATGGTCCCAAACTTGATGAAAGCCATGAATATAAACATCTAAAAAAGCTCAATGAACTCCAAGTACAATAATTCAAAGGGACACAAGCTAAGACCCTGAACTCGACTGCTGAAAGGCAATGACCAAGGAAGAACTGTGAAAGTAGCGAGACAGAGGTGACCCATCACATGAAGGGAGGCGCAGTCAGATTATCAGCAGAGTCAGAGAAATCTGGGATGTTAGAAGGCAGAGGGTTGATACATTCAAACAGCTGCAAGGAAAACAAAACAAGCCTGAACCAAGTATTCAATACCTGGCACAAATATCCATCAAAAATGTGAGGAAAACTGAGACACAGAGATATACAAAGACTGATCAGTCAGTCCTGTAAGAAGGGCTAAAAGAAGCCTTTCAAGCTGAAACGAACAGACAGACACAAGACAGAACCTGAAGTCATATGAAGAAATTAAGTATCTCCAGTAAAGATAATATATAAAGTTATAAAAGCTAGTATTACCATAACTTTAGTTTATGACTCCAGTTTTGCTTTCACATGATTTAAGAGATTAAAACACTAAAAAAAAATTATTATTCTATGTTTTGAACACACAGTGGGTAATGATGCAGTTTTATGGTATTAATAACTTAAAGGATTTGGGGAGGGAGCTTTATAGGAGCAGAGTTTTCTATGCTACTAAAGTTGATCTGGTATAAATGCAAAGTACAGAATTAAAATTTAGGATGTTAAATGTACTCTCCATGGTAACAAAAAAGAAAATAGCTGGAGAATATACACAGGAATACAAGAGAAAGCAATGGAAATATTTCTCTATGAAAAACAGCTAACACAAAAGAAGACAGCAGTGCAGGGAACGAGGGAGGCTTTTGTGAAGGCGTCTCCCCAGACAGGGGGCAGTGCAGACCCGAGCAGCAGTGCCCCTTCGCCGCCTTTTCAACGATCCAGGTATTTGGTCTGATCCACATGTATCATCTTTCAGGCTAATTTTTCTCTTTTCAGGGTGTGAATTTCCTCCCATTTCAGAGTGCCTGTATTTTCAGTGAATCCTTTGTGGGCCTCTCCAGTGTTAGCCCTTTTCTAGTCAGCCATGTTGGCTCCAAAAAAAACCTCTCCAAGATCTTTCTTCTTAAACAGATTTTAGCTATTGCTGTGGATGTTGAATGTCTCGGAAATGCCTGTTTTACAGGCTTGGTCCCCTAGGGGGCACTATAGGGACACCATGAAACCTTTGATAGGTCACCTTCTGGGAGAACCTTGGGTAACTGGAGGCAGGCCTTGAAGGGGATTGTGGGACTCCAATCCATTTCTTTTGTCTCTGTTTCCCAGTTGATGAGGTGAGTGGTTCTACATGCTTCTGCCATGATGCACTGCCTTATTACAAGCCCCAAAACAATCAGGCCAAGTGATCACAAACTAAATCCTCTAAAACTGTGAGCCAAAAATAAACCTTTTATGTGCATAAGCTGACTATCTCAGATGTTTTGTTATAGTCACTGAAAGCTAACCTATCATGTAGGTGTAGGTGTTTGAGGTTCTGCAATGTAATGATGACATTTGTTGTAGGGAAGGCAGACAGGCTGTGAAATATGAATACTTTAATGAATGCACAATAATTAACAGTATTTTTCAGGTGCTCTAAAGACCATTTTCCAGAAAACACAGTATTATCAACTACTGAACAGACCCTACTCAGTGACCTGAGAAAACTGGAAAAAAAACTGTCGCAGCAGAGAAGCAGATAGTTGGAACTCAAAATGCTCTTTAGCAAGAATGACATTTCTCGATGATAAATAAGAGCACAGCTAGGTGGCAAAACACCCTTAACAACAGAAAGTAACTGACAACCTTGAGTGAAATGGAATATTTTTCTGATGGTTGAATATTCAAATAGATTGGTGCCTGGACTAGGAGCTCGCTATTTTCCAGTTCAAAAGAATAAAAGGTGGAATGAGAGACAGGAGAAAAATATGTAACAGAAAATGAGATATTACTCCCACAATCTATTTTTGATGTTTGAGTTCCATGATTCTGTACCTGATAAGTTAAAAGAATCCATTTTACTCTCAAGAGAGTTGACTTCTTTGACACATAATTTAAAGTGCTTCATACTTTTATTTCTAAAGGAATTATATTTAAAATGTTTCATTCAAGGCTCTGAAAAACAGATTCAATTTATTAGCAAGATGTGTGGGCAGAAAATTCTTTTCCCATCCATAGGTAAGAAAATGTAGGATATTCATCTGTCACAGGAAAATCTCTCTGGGAAATGTACATTAGGCTATGATTAATTCTGAGAATAGGCTTCTTTGAAAGTTCCACGTGAATTCCTTCTGGGCTCTGGGGCCACTAAAACAATTTACTAGTCATCAGGGAGTGTCTGGGGTACACGGCCCTTAGTGACAGAACAGGAAGGTACTGGTTCTGACACTGGCCACGCCGTTGGGTGTAGGCTCACCTTGCTCTAGAAGCAGCCCCATTCCACTGACATCGCCCCCAAATTGGCTGTGCTCCTGAGGCAGGAAAGTGCCCAGCCTGGCGTCTCATCGTAGGCATAGACTCACACGGTATCACGTTGTAAACGGCTTCATTCCCTGGCTACCATGTCCCAGTTCTGTTCCCTGGATCTAGAGCCTTTTTATTTTCCTTTTCTCTGAGTCTTTTTAGAGTTGGGCCCACCCTTCTTTATAGCCCTGTAACCCCCTGGCTGTTTCAATTCATCTCTATTTCCTATGTGGCTGCAGCTGTTTTGTTCCCTGGGGGGCACTTTGCACTTCTTTATGTCCAGAGGGTCCACTGCTTGGCCTGACATTGTCTGTCCTTCTGTCAGAACCTCCCATTTGCAATCTATAGAGGGCAGCTTGCCTTTCAGATAGTGAGCACGGAAGAATAACCCAAGATGCCCCCTGTGGTCTTAGCTATTAGATCAATCTCTGTCTGCATTTTCAGTACTAAAACCCTTCATCTCAATGTGCCCCATAAGTAAAGCAGATCACATCCCAGGCAGAGCAGTTCTATGACACATCAGGAAGGGCTGGAGATGAGCCAGTCAACATCCTGTGGCAAAGGCTGGGTGTTCCTGACAGCTTTTCTCATTGGCCAGAATTTTGAAACCTGGCATACAGAAACCATCTGCATGGATTACTTCACCTGAAACCATTGTATAGATCTTACACCCAAGAACTTTCTCCTGAGAATTATTACCCTATTTTGATCTAAAGATCAAGCTCCTGCTAGGCATGGTGGCGCATGCCTGTAACCCCAGCACTCGGGAGGCTGAGACAGAAGGATTGCCGTGAGTTCAAGGCCAGCCTGGGCTACATAGCGAGTCCAAAGCTAGCCTGATCTACAAAGTGAGACCCTGACTCACACACACACACACACACACACAAAGACCAAGCTCCAGTCAAATCTGACCTACTTAGATCAGACCCTCACTTGCACACACCCCGCGGTGGAGAAAAGGCAGAGCGCCAAGCTTTGGGCTTCTCAGCTCAACCGTGACGAATCCTGGGTTACCCTGGAAATGAGGCAGAAAACTGCAAAAAGCCTGAGCAGCAAAGCAGAAAAGAGGCCAAAGGAAGCCCAACCTAATTTCTAAAACAAATAACACTACATGAGTTCATACAATGACATGGTTATAAACTTAGTACCTCTGGAAGGAACATTCATGATTGTATAATTCTTCCAAAAACAAGTTGTAAAATGTCAGCTAATTAAAACCAAAAAATGCTCAAACAAATGAGGTTTGTATCCAAATAATATTTATAAACAGGTGCTTTTTGGAAACGTAATTCTTTCCTGGGTCTGCGATGTGTACTTCTGACTCTGCTTTTACACGGACACATAGTAGGATTGGGCCCTGAGTTTGTTTCCTTACCACTCTTTTTTAAATGTAGCTACATTTTAATATCACCATTGCATTTTTTAGTGTATCTAGCCCTGTGATTATGCTTTACTATAAAGTGTTATCTTTAGCGCCCTTTTAAAAGAGGTACCAGAAATATACTTTTAATAAAACAGGAGTTTAAAATCAGAAAATGAATACCAGGAGATGAAGGTGTTTTGACAGCCTGGTTTTACACATTAAAAATAAAAAAGCAAAAAACCTAAAAAATGAGGCTCATATGGCATTTTGCATTTTATGTTTTCAGTTCTTTAATCGTTTTAACAATTACTCAGAACACCACATTTTTCACAAACACCACAGGTATAATTAACATACTTTAAAAAGCTTCTTTTCAATACAATGATTGGCTGAGAAATAAAGCAAGAAAGGTAATATCCAAAATATGTAGCCCAAACCTATTTTGGAAGGGTTTAGTGAATAAGTCTCTCTTGCATACTAAGCAAACTGATCATGTTTGGCCCAGAGTTCTAAATAATGATTTGCCTCCATTTATATCCACAACAGTGTTCCATTTATACCTACAACAGTCCCAAACCAATGCTAATCTAGAAGCATTCTTCAGGTAATTGAGAGCACATTTTTCAAATACTATGCATAATACAGTGATTAAGGCATATTATGGGAGAAAGAAAGCTCAACAAAATCTTGCTGAAACATGATTGAAAGTCTTCTTAAAGCAATAAGATCATAAAGATATTTAGTATTTTATCTCAATTTCTGTCAAATATCTGCAAAAACTATTTAACACTAAAAGTGCTTAGAACAAAACCAGAATTTAAATTATTGCTCAGTGTTTTCCAATTTCACTCTTAAAATATTAGACATGAAAAAAGTTGGGAGGGGTTAAATTCTGCCATATGTAAATTATTGGTCATCCATTTATGTACTTTTCTACCTTACTTCTTCACCAAAAATCGTGTTATGTCTGATCCATGCTTTGATGCTGCAGACAGTCGTCTCACCTGGCTTCTTTCTTTGGCTTGTCTGGCAGTTTTCTAAAAGTTAACAAACATATATGTATATACATTAGAAAAAAACACCAGCTACAAAAGCTCAAAAACTTTGTACTGTTAGTCTAGAAAAATCGACATTGTTCCTTCACCTAGTGCTTGGCATTAAGGGGGTTTTCCACACCACAAGGCAGAGTAGCCTGGTGACTCTGGCATGTGCCCTGAGAGCCTAGGTCTACTAGGCCTCTATTTGGAGAAGAAACCACAAGATTTTCTGGAATGGTTTACTACCCAGTAAGGTCATGAAACGTTTATCTGGGGAGGAGGGGAGGCTCATCCAGGCAGGTGCTCATAGGCAGCTTGGGATTTCCCATAGTGCAGTGAGCAAAGGCTCATGCACTTCCTATTAGCTGGGCCCAGAAGCCACGCCCACCTCAAGAGACAATGTAGAGAATACAGCAACGGGATTCTTCTACTGATCCCAGAAATAAAATTTTCAGGGAATCTGAAAAAGTACAGAAGGGGCTGCATTTTCTATGGCTATTTCTTAATTCTCACACAGGTCTTGAATTTGTTAGTAATTTGCACAGCTGAGAAATTAACTTTTTTTTCCAACTTAAGTCCATCTGCATATGAAGAGACCCAAGTGAAAAGAGAAAAGGCAAAACTGAGGACAAAACCTGCCTATATGATACAATCTCACCTATGAAAGTATTATGCTTGTGAAGAAATTACAGAATCTCAAACATTAAAAGACAGCTTGAAAGGATTCACACCTCATGAAGACTGGCAAAGAATGTGAATAGTTCTCAAAAGTGTAAATATAATTAGAATGTTTAAAAGAAACAAGTTTTGGGCTGGGGATTTAGCTCAGCGGCAAAAGCGCCTGCCTGGCAAGCGCAAGGTCATGAGTTCGGTTCCTGGTACCGGAGAAAAACCAAAAATAAATAAATAAATAAATAAAAAATAAAAGAAACAAGTTTTAAGCTGCAATTAAATGGGCACTCCATTAACTCCTGGGCTTGAGAGAGCACCCATAAACATAATCCCATAGAAAATAGTTTGGTAATAAATTCCTGCACTATTAAAAATATTCAAATACTTTTGATTCAGTGATTTTTATATCTGAGAACCTACCTGCAGAAATGACCTTGAAATGTAAAAAATGATTGTGTTTACACAGATGTGCCGGTGCATTATGTTTAAGAGCTAAAATATTTAAACAACTTAAATATTTATCAGTATGGAAATGGCTAAGTAAACTAACAGAATAATGCAACCATTTTTTTTGGGTTTTTTTCCCAGTACCAGAAATCGAACTCATGACCTTGTGCTTGCCAGGCAGGCGTGGTGCCACTGAGCTAAATCCCTAGCCCCAATGCAACCATTTTAGATGGTATACATTACGAATGGCTGGAGGATATGGGAAAACGCTTCTATCTTGCCCTAAGTAGAAAAAAATTAAATAGAAAGTTGTTACTGAATAAGATTATTTCAATAGGTACATCCAACCATCTTTTATTGAACCAGGTGTTTTGCTGTTTTCCACATAGTCCAAGCTGGCTGTGAATTCATGGGGATCCTCCTACCTCAGCCTCCCAAGTACTGGGATTATGGGTGTGTGCCACCATACCCAGTCTGGACCATGTGTTAAAAATTCAACCTGGTAAGTATATAATACTGTGTCACCTTTTCTCTTTCATTTTAAGCAACAGGTAATTACTTAAATACGTGTCAAAGTTAATAGGTTTCATGCTGGAGCCAACACTGTAATCTGTATTTGTTGAGCTGAGTTAGTTCTAGAAATAATTTATGAATTCTCTCATATATTTTGGCTATCTTTTTTATTCAGTTGTTTATCTTCTGCTATAGGGAATGAAGCCCAGGGCTCTGTGTATGCTAGGCAAGTGCTTCACCGCAAGCTATATTCCCAGCCCTTTTAATTTTATTTTGAGACAGGGTCTCACTAAATTTCTCAGTCTAATCTCGAACTTCTGACCCTCCTGCATCAGCCTCCCAAGGACAACCTTCACCACATATGCACATGTATAATTGCTCTAACTCACAGAACTTCCAGTTTGAAGGTCTGAGTCTTTCCAGACCACACAATCTAGCTGGATGTGGTGACACACACTTATACTCCCAGCACTGCACAAGCTTAGGCAGGAGTATCTCAGTGAGTTCAAGGCCAGCCTAGACTACATAGCCAGCCCCTGTCTCTACAAAACAGAAGAAAATATCATGCAATCTGGAATGGTATCCATGTTTTTTCTAGGTGGTGGTGGCCTATCTGGGTCCTAGATACATTAAACGGGAAGCAGCTTCTCCTGCGTATGTGACCGAGCACTTCTACAGGACTTCAGAGAAAAGGCAAATGTCGAGTAATGGAAGGATTAAAATGCATCTTAGGCCCCACACCAGGGGTCAAGATTCACTCACATAATCTCCCACACCTATATGCACAATTTTCTGTTGGAGTTAGTAGGACGGCGTCATAGTTGACCATCAGTGTCACTGACCTCTTTGTGACAGACTGTACAGAGAGTCTGCAGGTTGTCCAGGGAGCACTGTCCTCCTCCCTCGTATACTGGCTTGATGTGATCCACCTGCCAGAAATGTCCTTCCCCTGGGTTTCTTATCATTTCGTTCAGCTGCAATAAGAATGCAAGATCAGCAGTTTTCAGCACAGTGTGTTGTGCAGTCATACCCCTACAGCAATTCCCTGCGGAAAGCACACTAGGATAGCTTTTCATACAGTGTATTTTGAGTGAAAAAAAAAAAAAAGACAAAACCCTCTAGCTTGGCAATTCCAAAGTAGTAAAATGTATTTCTGAAGAAGTTTTTCCCCCTTACCTAATATATGTTGAAAATCTTAAAAGCTAGCATTAATTACCAATACTCCTCATAGGTTGAGGAAAAATCAGTAATTTCTGCACCTTTCAGTTAGTTTATACAGTCACTAAACTAAAAGTGAGAAAAGAATAAGAACAGATTGGAAGTTTAAAATTCTTCAGTATTACTGACTTTCACTGACCTAAGTACATTCGTTATTATCTCAATGGCAGATCAATATTAATAGCTATCACCCAAAATTTGTATTCACCAGAGAACCTCTTAAGTTCCCTGGACTAGAATGAAATTTCCTGAACAAGCTTTGGTAACTTCTGGAATAAACAAAGATGTCCACTAAAAACAGCCACTATGTAGGCCAGTCTCTCTCGAGATATATATATATATATATATATATACACACACTTTATATTTAGCCACCGATGACCTACATTAAAATGGTATGTATTTTAACATTTTACCTGAGATAGCAAAACTAACTTGCACCATGGGAGTGTGCTTGTTAGAATATCACAAATAGCATGGCAGTTGCTTTTATTTTCTTAGTCTTGCAAATTATCATCAACATCATGAGTGGTAACATGAGAACCCCTGACTGTTTTTTAAGAAAGCTGGTCAGACCCTCCGAAGGCGCAGGGACCTGATCAGTAGCGCTGACCTGTGAGGAGCCCAAAGCGGCAGCAAGTTGGAGCTGCAAACTTTGTTTAGCTGACCTTTGCTACGTCTGCCTCGTCCTCTCGTCTGTATTAAGCTTCCCAATTTCTGTTAGAAGATGCAATTGATTTTTATTTTTGAAGTTGGCACTGTTGGAAGCAACTACAAATGGTAGTCTTGCATATCAAGCAAATGACATAGTCTTAGAAAAAAAAAACAAACCTGGGTCGAGGATATAGCTCAGCGGCATACTGCCTGCCTAGCAAGTGCAATGTTCTGCGTTCGATTCAGTCACCAAAAGAAGAAAAAAAGAAAAAGAAAAAATCCATTTTGGTCCTGCTTTTTGTAACGAACACCTTCTCTCTGAGCAGCTTTCAGTCTGACAGATTCAACAGTCCAAAAGGTTCTTCTTTATTTTTTTCCTAGCAGCTGTGCAGTAAATCACTTGGGCCTCTTCTTCAACATCCTAAAGTCACCTCTTGAAAGAATCACTGCCTCTCCGACAGGACTGCCCCACCTGAGCCCTGTGTGTTCCTTATCCTTAGAGCACTTTTGTTCTGGCTGTCTACCAGGTTACTTCTGTGTTCCTGGTTGCTTTCAAAATGACCTTGAATCGTTTCATTGTGCATGTGTTGGAATCCTTCATGCTGTGGCAGCAGACAGTAACTGGAGCCTGGCCAGTATCCCTAGAAGGGGTGCAATATGTTGCTCATCAATTAGACCAAAGGATCTTTCAGGAACTCTGCATGTCATTCGGAAACAGTATATTTTTTCTAGCTCTCAAAGACATACTAATTCGTCTTTTAGAAATGATTACTAATTCTATTATAATTTAGCAATACTAGATAAATAAAAAATATAATTTGTCTAGCTGGCAGAAATTCACGCAATATTCTGGTGGGCACAGAATGGTTCAGGAGTGGTCCTTTTTTGAATTCATTTGGTTTTGCTTTTGTTTTTGAGACAGGGTCTCATGATGCAGTTCAGGCTGGCCTTAAACTCACTAAGTAGCCTAGGAAGCCCTTGAACTTTTGGTGATTCTCCTGCCTCAACCTCCTGAGTGCTGGGATTACAGGCATGTGCTACCATGCTTGGCTCTGGGAGTGATCCTTTTTTAAATTAAGTGTACTGCAAAATTATATGTTGTGCTTTAGTTTGAAATTTAGAACTATTTGGATAACAAAATCAGAAACCTAATGGAGTTTTGAAAATCAAAGTAATATTGACGATAACGGGTTACAAAGAATAGTTCATCATAAATCACTATACTAAAATTACATTTACAAAAACATGTATCTCTTCATTGCAATGAACTACATTTTGGGGTTACCCCTTTGCCCCTTGTCAGTCAGCACTAACATAGGGAAAGCAGGGTCCCAGTCTTCGGTGCCTTCGATGCAGGAAGTCACCTACTGTGATCTTTTCCCAAAACAAACTCAGAATCTATAGCTGATATACAATTACTCAAGAAATTGGTGGGAGATAGAAGAGTATGTCAAATAACACTATAAGGATACTGGGAGATAATCCAGAGTGTAGGAAAACCTACAGACAAATGACCCAGTTTCTTCAACAATTAAAAAGGTATGGCTGGGCACAGCTGTGCACGATTGTAATCCCAGTACTTGGGAGGCTGAGGCAGGAGCTTCACCGTGAGTTGAGGCCAGCCTGGGCTACATAAATGAGTTTAAGGCAGCCTGAACTACATAGTGAGACCTTGTCTCAGACAAAGCAAAGCAAAACAAAACAAAACAAAACAAACAAAACAAAACAAAGCAAAGAAAGCGAAGCAAAGCAAAGCAAAACAAAACACAACAAAACATATGATGTGCTGTTATGATTAAATGTAGGATAAAAGGCATAATGATAAAAAATGGTATGTGGCCATATATTGATTGTAATTTGAACAAAGCAACTACAGAAAGACATTTCTGAGACAAACTGGGAAACTAAACATGAATTTATTGTAATTTAAGGAATTATAATTGCATTGGATACAATAATCCATTGTGATTATATTTAAAAGAAAGGGGGAAGAGAGAAAAAGAGGGGAGAGAGGAACTGTACTTGTGAGATACATAATAAAAACTTTTAAGGCTATTGTCTGGACTTTGCTTTAGGAAAACAAAAACTGAGGCAAGGGACAGATGAAAACCACCGGCAAAATGTGGGTAACTGCTAATACTAGACAATGGGTGTATGGGTTCATTATGGTCCCTACTTTCATACACATATTTGAAAATTCCCAGTTAAAAGGTTATAAAATGAATTAAATGAATTGCTATCCATCAGTCAGTACAGTGCTGCCTTCTGTCACATGACTATAATTTACCTGTTCTAATGAGAGTTTTGAGGTCCAGGTAGCATCCAAAAGACTCTTCCGCTGGCTTTTAGGTGAATCTCTCAGACGTAAAAAGAGTTCTTGAGCATTTATATTACATAGCTGACACACACCATGTTCAATTTCAAATACTCTGGCTCGCAGGTAACTGTTATTAGATCGAATCCAAAATTCCTCTTGACATTTTAGAGAGCAAAACCGTGAATCCCATGCGTTTGTTGTATACTCTCGCTTAGTTTCGCAAGTGGGATGCTGGCAGTGAAGGCAAAGTGGATTTCCTTCATTATCCACAGCTTGCAAGTAGCCTTTGGATGTAGAAGACTTCACTGAGAGATCAGCTTGCACTGTGTGCGAATTTAGAAATGAGTTACAGGCTCCATCTTCAAGAAAGTTTCTGTAATTGAACAAAACATTGGAAAGGTAACTAATGAATGATTCTGCTAAAATACAAAAGTTTTCAAATCTAAACAGTGAACACAGGATGGGTCCACAGACGTGATTCAGTATGGAGACAAGATAGCTGTGGTCAACACTCTATAATCCATAGCAAGTAAAGAAGAACAGTACACTACAAAAATGAATTTGCTGTGTGTTGACTCTCAGATACTTAGAAGCTTCCATATTAAACAGTCAGACTGGAACATCTAGAGAAGCTTGAAAATCAGAAGAAAATGCTACTTCAGACTGAGAAAGAACAGGCTAACGTGAAACTCCAACTAGAGAACCAGCTCTCTAACTAGGGTGGGTCATATAGCTCAATAGGCCGGAGAAGCTACTACAAACTCCCTCTGTGGGCTTATATAGAGAGCCTTCATAGCCACAGAGCGACACAGCAACGTAGCTGACAAAGCTGACAGGAATTAGAAGGAAAGGCTTACTAAATGTCATGTCTGCTGTTTGATCAGCAGGTAAATTCAGAGCTGATAAAAGCAGGAATGAAACATGATAGCGTATGTGCTCAGTTCATTAGGAAACAAAATAACTTTTCAAGAAAGAAGCATAAACTGGGCCTAGAGGCACATGCTTGTCATCTTCACTACCAGGCTGAGACAGGAGGATTGCAAGTTCAAGGTCACCTTTAACATCACAAGACCCTGTCTCAAAATAAAATTTAAAAAGGAAGTGGGAGTGGAAATGTAGCTCAATGGTAGAGCACTTGCTTAGCACATGTAGGGCCTTCTCACAAAGAGTACATTATTCAATTATGTTGAAAATTCCTGCAATGGGAAATAATAAATTTTTTGCTTATTTTCCATGGTTGGTTGTTAGAAAGGTCAAAATAAAATCCTTTATAGTTTAAAGAGCTCAAGTTTGGGAGGCCGAGCCAAGATTGGCCTCATCCCTAATCTCTTTATTTTGTACCGGGAATTGAACTTAGGACCTTGCACTTGCCAGGCAGGCTCTGTGCTGCTGAGCTACGTCCTCAGCCCATCATCTCTACTTTCTAAGATGATAAGATCATGTGCCCCTCAGGGTTGCTAGAAGGATGGAAGAGCTCCTCGTCCTGAAATCTCTTTGTAACATTTCAAGTAGCCACACAAAGGTGAGGTACTATTGTCAAAATTAATACATACGTTTAAAGAAGTATTCTTACAACTACTGTGTCCTTACTTTATGGAAGGGTCCCATGGTTTGGATTCCTTTGTGATCAGACGGACATGACCCCCATCTTTCTTTACCTTCTCCATTGCGGCTACAGCAACATCTTCTTTGGTTATGTATCTGCAACAATTACATGCTCAGTGCATTTCCTCTCTCTCACATACAGATTTCTCTACTTCATGTTCACTTGCTCCTTGCAAAAGCAAAAGAGCAAAAGCAAGATAACAGTTCTGTTCACTGTGCCAACACTAAAGGTGAGAAAGGGAGTACTCCCCTTTACATTGACTGGGGTCTACTACATGAGAAACACATCTCTTGGCTCCAAATTAGCTTTCTCAAGATTAATTTTTCTAAAAAGAGTCGTAAGTCATTCACTATCACTTGGGCCAATTTTCAAAATTTGGGGAAACAAATGGAGTTTGGGAATTAGAAGTGATCAAATACAAGCACAACTGACAGCCTTTAAGAAACTGTTTGCTACACTGTGTGGAGACTTTCCAAGTATATTTTTACCTCCCTCTTGACCTTCCCACAAGGCTCCACCAATTCACCTCGGTTACAATATTTGTATCAGCGTTTTTGGGTAAAGTGATTCTCTTTTTAGTTAACCATATTCAGTCATCTCCTATAATCTCAAGGTTGTTCCCATCTGTATCAGTTCAAACAAGGTTTATGGAATCTTCCACTGAAATAGTCACTTTGATGTAGGGATTCAGAACCTGATTACACAATACTATCAATACACACAATGGTTTCCGCGCTGGAAGTAAAGACAAAAGTAATTCTAGCTAAAGGTGACAGGGGAATTTAAGTAGGTGAAATGCAATTACCCAGTTAATTCCTTCTAATTAGCATGGCCCAGTTTCTCTGGTCCATTACACCCGTTATGGATCTTTTTAAAAAATTAGTTTAAACATAAATTTCTTCATATTTTTAATTAGCTTAATAAAACTAAAGTTCAATCACAATGAAATCATGCAATCATAGGTGAAATTTTAGGAATCTGCTCTGTTCTGAAATTAGTAATGGTAGATTTAGTAACAGATTTCTTTCTTTCTATGAAGTATTTTGTTAATTTTGATTAGGTGATAGGTGCACATGGTTCCAAATTTAATGGCATGCAATAGTTTATACAGTAAAGAGCAAGTTTCCCTCTCCTTCCTGTCCTACTTTTGCTCTTCCCCAGAGCCCATCCCTGTTGCCAGGTTTTTAGAAGTCATTTGTGTGTCTGTAAGACTCCACCTGGACGTGACTCTCCCAGCCCCAACCTGTCTGCCGGCAGAGGCACTGTTCTCAACTCAGCACTGCTGCCCTCAGCAAACACAGGATGTCGTAAAGCTGATAAAATGCAGCAGGGAATCTTCCAAACACCTGGGCATGGAAGACACCCAAACATTTATTCTGGATGCCTCAAGGACTTTGCCCACCGAGGCATGAGACATCCAGAAAACTTTGATCACGGAGGTTTCCTAAGATCTTCTCACCTAATATTCCTTGCCTTCTTTCAAGTCCTATAGAAAAAGCCCACTTCTCTTTGCTCCCTACAGACGGCATTTTTGCCCTATGTCTGCCTCCCCCATGTGCAATAAATTCCATGCCTTGTTGCCTTTACACAAGCCTGGCGGTCTGGCTGGTTTCTGCCTCAGGCTGTTCTTTACAGTGTGTGTGTGTGTGTGTGTGTGTGTGTGTGTGTGTGTGTGTGTGTGTGTGTGTGTATCTTTTACTTATTTTTGCATTTCACTGAAATAATTCATATACCATAAAATTCACCAATTTAAAGTTTACAATTTTATGAATTATAGTACAGTCACAAGGTTGTGTAGCCATTACCATTACTAATTCCAGAACGTCTTCATCCAGTTCTTCATTTCCAAAAGAAACTTGTACTCATTACTACTCACTTCCCACCATTTTAATTGTTAGAAATGAATGACAGTGTAGTACAGACACTAATCTTCACCATGCTTCTTTTGCCTGAATCTGTATCTCAGGGATCTTTTTACATTGGTATACACACAGTTGCTCTGCTCTTTTTAATAGTTCCATGTTATTCTACAATATGGATAAACTATGTATCTAACCAGCCTCTGGTTAATAGGCATTTGCCATCACAAACAGTGCTATCACAGATATGTTTGTACATTATATTTTCTATACATGAGGTATATGTAGAATACCCAGAAGTAGAATTCCTGGATGAAAAGTTCTGGGTACTTTATATACGGGTAGATTTTGGTGAACTGCTCTCAGGTTACGGTGCTACATGTCTCCACCAGTGCTGACTGAGAGGAGGACCTGTGTCCTCATACTTTCAACAGCACAACTACCACCACATCATTTAAAAACTCCTATACTGATGGTGATAGGATTCTCATATATTTTAGACATCTCTTTACAGCTTAAAATTGCATTACTCCTGAAAGAGTACAGGGGAATATTTTCCATGTATTTGCATTTCACTTGCGTGTCTTTCTTTAAGCAAAAAAGAAATTAGAGCACAGTAAACTGTTTTTGAGTTCTTTAATTTGACCTTTCATTCCTCCCAGCCCCTTGTTTCTTCAAGCATTTTATTCCCTTAACAAAAGCACTGTGCTATAGTATTTCTGTAAATTCTAAATGAAATAAAGACCTTCCTGAGGGACAATGGGATGTTAAGCCTTGCCTCAGGTATTACCCTCTGTTTAAAAGCTTAAAATCCAATTCAGTAACTTTAAAAGGTGCTGAGAAACCTAGTTAGAGATTTAGGAACCAATAATAAACTCTTGCTTTTGTACGATAGAATTAAGTATAACTTTTTTTGGAAACCACAAGAAACAAATTGATCAACTCCAAAGAAGGGAGTTGACAACTTTTCAAATCTAGTTCCAAGTTCCCAATATTTAATTTTCCACTGAGGTTTCTTACAAAGTTCAGGTACATATAGCCTCTCTCAAAAGGGTTATGGTAAATAATCCTTTTGGTAAATAAATTTTGGGAAGTAGGGAAGGAATGTTGTCTATTAAACTAGTTCCTGGATACGGAGGGAATGGAAGATGGCAATTTTCACAAGGAGAGAAGAATGTGTGTTGGAAAGAGGTCCACACTAATGAATATAATCCTGGGCTCTGGCTTGCTGACCTGCTTTGTATATCAGCTATACCGCAGGGACAAATAGTTGGTGTCCTAACCAAGACAAAGCTCCTGCCAAATCAGGCCTGCCTCTGAAAAATGGAACCCACTGTAACAATGGTTAGAGGTCTTGGCTTCACATCTAAGAGTGAGCTACCCAAAAGCAGGCTACCAAGTCTCAGCTTACATGAGGCCTACAAACTGGTGGTCACTGGCGGTAATCGTATTAGAAATCTAGCCATAGCTTTGGGGTGGGGGTGGGGATTCTAAACTCAGTACCTACATGTCCTTCTGGAGTCATTCAACATTTTTAAGAGCTGAATCCTAAGCTGGAAGCAGGGTGTGGAGGGGTGCACTGAACCCTCCTTCCTGCTGCTTAAGAAGGAAAATGTGGCTAGTGGCATTCTTGACATTGAGTAAAGCAAAGGGTTTCAGGAGTCTGTTTCAGCATAATGTCTCTGCCTTTATCTCCACTGAGCCTGGTATTTCCACGTCTGGGGGCTCCTTGGTTCATTTTCTCTGGGAAGTAAATCAATAGGTTGGCGGGAGAAAGAGATCCAGGGTCTAACTGATCTTCAGACAGACTTGCTGCTGTTCAGCCCCATCTTTCACACCTGCTTCCTGAGATTCATGGTGCCTCCACAATACCAAGACTTGCTGAGGCTCTGCTGTAAGAATTAGCGTTCCTGAGAGTGTCTCCCTTCAGGGTGTAAGCTTCATTTCATGGCTCTGTTAAGTCAGTTCCCCTGGCAGGCCTCCCTCTCTCTATGGGTCATCAGGTCTCTAGATATGCCTCCTTTACAACGCTCTCATTCTCTTCCCTCCATTCCTGTTGCTAATGCCTTAATAGCAATCCTCATCAGTTTTTTTACCAGTTCTACTGGAATAGTCTTTTAACTTGGGTGGTAGGAAGAATTTTTAAGGTATCTCCTAAGATTCCTGTCCTCACTAATTTAGGTAATGATATAAAGGGACTCTGCAGACATAAGTAACATTACTTATCAACTGACCACAATAAGAGCTTATTGGGTGGGCCCAATATAATTACATGAGTCCTTGAAAGCATAGGGAAAGCTGGGGGTGGCGGTGTGCACCTGTAATCCCAGCATTTGGGAGGCTAAGGGATTTTGAGGCTAGCCCGGGTTACTGCATAGTAAGACCCTATCTCAAAAAAAAAAAAAAAAAAAAATTTAAAAGCAAAGGGAAAGGCAAAGAGATTTCTCCAAGAGATACAAGAGTTTATGCACTGGGATCAGAGAGAGGTCTTTAGGAGCTGATGGTGTCGCCGAATAACAGCCAACAAGGAGAGGAAACCATTTCTGTATCTGCAAGGAATGAGTTCTGACAACAATCTAAATAAGCTGGAGCTTGATTTTAGCCTTATATAAAACTCAGAGCAGAGAAACGAATAGAAATCCACTTGGCCTTCGGACCAACTTACAGAACTGTGGGATAATAAATGTGTGCTGTTTTGTGATATTATGTTTGTGGTAATTGGTTATATAGCAATAGGAAACTAATGTTACTTGTCTCACCTTTTTGACCTAATCTCTTAGTTGCTGCCAGAATCTCTTAAAAATATAAATCTAATTATTTAATCTGATGCTTGTTAATAGAAGATACACTCTTAATATATCAGCTACACTCAATTTTATGAATAACACTATGTGCTACTTTGGTTGGTGTTGATTTTACGAGCAGATTTTTGCTTTTATACGTGATCAAGCATCTCAGTTGGTACTTTAAGTGGTCATTTATGTCTCACAGAGAAGAAACAATACAGCATCTCTAGAAATGATTGGAGAGGGCTTTAAATTCAGTTATGAAGGGAATTATGATCACACAAGGAAGAAATCAATGCTTTAAACTAAGACTGTGGTTACAAAAATGAGAAAAATAGAGAAGAAGAAGCAGTGTGAAAAATACAGTAGACACCTTGTTTTTGGACAATACATGTACATGTGTGTATATACATATATATATGTATATATGCATACACATATATTTTAAATCTCTTAATCTTAGGCCCTAGAGCAAGACTTCTCAGCAATGGCACTGTATAATTCTGAAACAGAAATGTCTTTGTGGGTGTAGTCCTATTCACTGCAAGATTTTCAGCAGCATCCTAGGTCTGTACCTACAGGATGTTCCCCAGTTGCATCCTGTAGTCATGACAATCTAAAATATTACAGCCATTTTAACTCTGGGGGATAAAACTGCTCCCAGTTGAAAAGTACTCTTCTGGAAATCCCTTCATTAAGTTTCTAAGGTGTCCTTCTGGACAACTTCTAGGACAATAATAGCAATTATGTATTTGCGTCTCCATTTCTTTTAAAAATTTCAAATTTTTACTCTTAGTAGTTTATCTCAAGTATTGTTCTTGCTCTCACACACATGTGCACCTGACAACATACTTTGAAACAGCTGAAGAAATGTTTCACTGTATGGGACTATTACAATTTCTTTAATCATCCAAGCCTATTCCTCCCAACATACCTACCATTGATGGATTTTGAGAATCTGTATGCATAGAAAAAGGTAAAGAACTGAGACTGTGATGTGATGGCATATGAGGATGAGAGATTATGGGTACATGAAGATCTCAAGGGATAAAGGGTTTTCTTTGCCAATGTTGCAGTTTGGTTTGTTGCTTTTGATCTCTTCCAAAGCAGCAACTGGACTACACAGCAGGTGACCACATTTCCTCATAATCTTTGCATAAGAAAGAAGTCCACAGAGAATTGGGGTTTGATCAAATTCACTAAATATCTCATATGTTGTTATAAAATAATTGTGATTTTATGTACCATTTTCTTTTAACTTATCAGTATTTCATTACTGATTAGATAAGATGCCTCAGATCTCCTATAGAAATAGCCATGAAAAGTAATTTAATACAAAACAGAAAAGACAATTCATACCTTTTGGTAGTATTTTGCTTGGCTTGTTGCTTTGTGATCTCTTCCAGAGCAAGAACTGGACTACAGAACAGCTGCCCACTTTTCCTGATTATCCTTTGCTTCATGGCAGTCAGGCTATTCCATTCTCGAACAAATCTCAAAATCTGGCAGAAAATGAAATAAAAACAGTGAACAGCTCACCAGCCACACTCCTTTGAAAGTAGAGTTATTCACAGCATGAGAAAACTCATATTTTGTTATATCACTGAAACAGGATTCCTTCCATACTGTAATTTTCATATTTCTATTGCAATTTATGGCCATTTCTAAAGCGATCTCTTCAACCCAAAGATTTTCTAAAAGGCACATTTTAGGACACATAATGTGTGCCCTTAAAACACACACACCAATAAGGGACCAACAGTGACAATGTGCACATCAAGACCAAAATAGGTCTAGAAGAACGTACTCCAGCAGTAGCCAAGGCAAAATTTGCCTTGGGGACAGCAGGCTGACAGAGCAACAGTGCAGTATCTGAGAAGCACTTTGAATCTGATGCCTAAGTTATCTTAGGAAAAATAACCATCAGTACATTTGGGACCTTTTAATTAGGGTTGCCATTACTCTTATTAGTTGATTATATGTAACTGGCTATTTTTTGGGAATCTGAGGGTCAGGATTACCTGATACCAAAGAAAATAGCCCATTGCTACCTTTTCCTTTACAATAAGTACAGCTGAGCCAAGGGCAATGCTTTTTTTTCACTCAAGGGGTGAAAAAAAATCACTATTTCCTTGTTTTAAAAAAATGACTGTACAGATCAGTCCTTGGACGTGGTGACCCTTCTTAGCAGCAAAGGTAAACCAGCCACAGATTAGATTTAAGGCCTCTCTGGCAAGTGTTCGGGCCTGTAACTGCACACTGCTGCTTCTGACAATGAATTGCTCTCAGAATTTGTCAGTGTTAAAATTTACCCTTGATGGATAAAATGTGATTCTGACAGATACAAATATCACAGTTGCTAATCCTGTGAATGAGATGTGGGGATGATTCTGCCCACAGAAACAGCAGCTCTAGGTGTGATCATCTGCCAAAGAAACAGATTTCACATTTATTCTTAGCATCCGGGTAATTAATAGACATTGCCTGAGTAGACAGAAATGCAAGCAGTGATTTGATTTTGTAATAGGTCACAAAGCACTGCTTTATCAAACTCAAAACAATCACTAAAGTTACTAATATAACTATATTTAAAACAAATACAACTATTTTATTTAGAACTATCCTTACCAGAGAGCGATTTTGTTTCAGTTGAAAGCTTGCTGGTAAGTCTTCCCAAAGGTCTAATTTTATATCCAAAGGAATGAAATTATAGTTCATCTGTTTTCCATCCTGATTATAGGTTAGAAAGATATTATTAATCCATTTTTGTCTGTAGGCACTAATAATTACCTTAAAAGAAAATAATTATATTATGGATAATATATCCAGTCTCCTTGAAGATAAGCGAGGGTGATTTAGAAAGTTCTAGACAACGGTCTCCTAGCATCACTCCCTGGAGGACGTACGAGTCGGGGTGGGGAGCAGGTTCCCCTCGCTCTCTAGAGAAAAGACCAGCATTGCTCCCACTCAGCCCACACCTCCTACCTGCAGCCTGATATACTGTGGTTACTGTCCTACAACACCCCTTCCTCATGCCTAACCTTAGAGATACACGGCGAACAATGAAATCTGTATACTGAAGATCAACATACGAGAGTATCATCACATCTTTGAAGTCACAGCAGTGTAACCATTCCTGAAGTCACAAGTAAACCTCTTTATAATCACTGAAAATATTTCTCATTTCAAAGTAGGGCACCATGAAATACTCTGAATGGCTCTCCCCAAACGGGTTGATATACTTGTGATAGGAACAAGGGAGTAAGAGGTAGACAGAGCAGTTCTAGAGAAGTTGTTTTGAAATTGGCTTCCACGAAGTCACAGTTTTGGTCCATGAAGACTCACTGCCAGTGGCACTACCTGGACAGTAAGAAGAACTGCATCAAGGTCCCAATAATCAGCTGCACAATGCCCTGAAAACTTAAGGGTAAAACGTAACCACGTACGGGGTGTACACAATTAGACACAGGTAAGAGGTTATTTCTTTTTTAAAGAGGAAGAGGAACATCTCATATGAAAATCTCTCATAACAACAACAGCTCAACTCGTATTCTAATTTTCTTAGCCAAAAAGAAATGTTACAACTCCCACAACCACTTTTTAAAAAAACCCACAAAGCACTTACATATTGATTAAAAATTTAGATATGTAATTGTAAGCCTATATAATATGTAATTCTAAAATGTAGAGATGTAACTGTAACATGTAATTCTAAACTCTAGACTTGAAATTCTAGCTGAAGTGAACAATTCTAACATGACACATGAGGGTAAATACCTGTTACTGATCTTTCTTTTCAGAGGTACAATACATAAACTAGAGTTTTTATCCAAATTTCTACCTCTAGGTTTTATTTTAGCTCTTCGTATGTAAAGGGAAAGCTTTTATATCAACTCTATTGTGTCTGTGAAGACATGACAACATTTCACCTGCTTAGTGACACACGTTTAGAAAATTATAGAAAGTGAATGAGAACATTTTATGGTAAAGGGCCATACATGCTTACAACAGTCAAAAAATATGCTTGAGATTACGGACAGCAGCGTCAAGGAGAGGCGGCCAGGCACACAGGCAAGGTGGCAGAACCGAACACAGGCCAGTGAGGCTGATGCTACAGGGTGCGTGGCAGCAAGCACACTCCAGCCTCCACCAAGAGTTTGAGGTAGTTTCCCTCCCTGTCTCCACCCCTACGTTTATTCAGTCTGCCAGAGGTCTGGCTTCTGTAAAGATGCAGCTGCTTCTGCTACTTCAAAGGACAAGTGCAGGAACTAACACTCAGAGTTTGTGAGGGTGAGGCACTGAGCTAAGTATTTTACAGGATTTAACTCACTTGATCTTTGCAACAAATCTTCTCCACATTTTACAGTTGAGGAAATTGAAATACAGAGTACTTAAGTAATGTGTCCAAGATTACACAGTAACAGATTTTTTTTTGTCTTTTTGAGACAGGGTCTCTCTATGCAGTTCAGGCTGGTTTTGAGCTCACTTTGTAGCTCAGGCTGGTCTCAAACTTGCAAAGATCCTCCTGCCTCAGCCTCCTGAGTGCTGGGATTACAGGTGTGCAGTAACAGATTTGAATTGAAGCAGTCTTTCCCTGAAGTCTATGTTGTTAAAGACTCTGTTGTGTTGCTTCTCACTGTCTTTAGGTTTAACATAGGAATTTGATAATTAGCTTTATGGAAGAAAAAAGTAGTTGCTGATCTCACTGTTAATGAAATTGACTATCTTCACTGCAAAATGAAAAAAAGGGAGCTTTCTTCTATGTTTCAAGCTAGAGAATCTGAAATGAACCATGAAATGTGTACAGTGATGCTTACCTTATTATAGAGGTGAATCCTATCAGTGTTCTTACTTGCACAAAACATTAAGCTGTCATATAGTGGCAGAGCGTCGGAGCTCTTCAGTTTCTCTAATAAAAAAGACAAAAGAAAAATTGCTCACCTTTCTTCTTCCTAAGAGAGTGTATTTTAATCTTTTTCAGGTTGGAATGATAAAACAGCTATATCAAAAATAACAAAATATTTGAAAAAGAACATATACCTAGGCTTGCAATGTAATTCTCATGCCGGCCATCTAAGAACACTGGTGTATACGGCAACCAGCTACAGTACTTTTCATTTTTGCTCATGACCCAACAAGAAAAAAAAATTAGAATTCATAGAAAAAGATATGAGAAGGACCGAGCACGGTGGCTCACTCCTGCAATCCCAGCACTCAGGACGGGATGCTGAGGCAGGAGGATCACTGAGAGTTCTAGACCAGCCTGGGCTACAAAGTGAGCTCAAGCCCGGCCTGAACTACATAGCCAGACCCCGCCTCAAAAAGAGAAAAAAAAAACCAAAACAAAACAAAACAGAAGACATGAAGGACACTTTCCTGTCACCAGGAGCTGCTATCAGTCCTAAAAAACTTAGCACCTACCCTTCTGCTAGCGTGCACTGAAACGGAGACTAAATGGGCACCCCTTCGTCAGCAGGAGTCCAGCTATGCGGTGTGATCCAAATATACAGTGAGCGTTTAAACTACAAAATTACAGTAAAGAGCACAGTGCCATTAATCCCCGGGAAAATACTCTCCCTCACTTCAGACACACTTATCCCATCATTCTTGCCACTTTCTGAAGCAGCTCTGAAGTCTTCTCATGAGTATCTTTGCAAGGTGTGATAAACAATATGGTGACTGCGGCTGCTCAGTGGCATCCAACAGGAAGGTGAGTTTATCAAAAACACTAGACTGTGTCCTCACACCTGATTCACCAGACCTGACATATCACTTCCTGCTCCTTCCCAAAGTCAAAAAGGCCATGAAAGGTAAACATTTTGAATTGATTCAGGACACTGAGGTAGCTGTGACAGTGTAACTAAAGACGCAAAAGACGTTTTCCAGAGCTCCTTTGGGAAGCAGTAAGAATGATGCAATAAGTGTGTTCAAAGCAGGGGGGAGTATTGTGAGGAGGATTAATGGTAATGTGTCTTTTACGGTAATAAATATTTTCCAAATTTATATAATCACTATAGTTTTTGATCATACCATGTATGTTCAGGCCACCTGAATGCCCGATTCCCTATGGCCTGGTGCCTCACTTCCCAAAAGAAGATTAGTGGATATAATTGTATAAACTTTTTCTCAGTCCCACTGTCTAATATTCTGCAGGACAGACAGAATTATCAAAGCAAATCTAAATAATAATTACGGTAAGTACACATGCAACAAACCATGCACTGTTTCAAGTACTGTCCTAAGTATACCTCTTACAAATAAATAGTGCATTTTAAATACGTGGAAAATAGGGCACATCAACTTGCCCAAGAGGATTTAAACCCAGTAACACGGCTCTAGAGCTCGTATTCTTAGCTTGGCCATAGTTCCTCAGTGACCGTTGAACATACTTTCCCATATCTAGAAGTGTATGACTTGTAGCCATTCTACTTGGCGATGCTGTCAGGTTATTATTTTTCTAATCAAGGCACTGGCCACTTAACAAATTTGGCTTATGGTTTATTCCTGTATTTTTAGATTCAAAAATGTACTTTAACATCTCTGAAATTGGTGTGTCTTACAGTCAATTATAATAATGGGACTGTACAATCATTTTTGGCCAGGTGACAGTTGTGAACTAGCTGTCATTGCCTGAGCACCCATAAGCTTAGTCAATAGCTGTAATACTAGTGTCACTTCAAAACCAAACACGAGGCACATGTATTGTTGTTACTACATGTATTGAGTTTAATTAACTTTAAAATTCTTCAGTATGACTTGGTACTGAAAAAAAAGCTATGTGTTTTAAAAACACTTAGGTACAAAGTAGATCATAGATTTAATATCAAAGAAGCAAACATATACCAATGAGAAAATAAAATATCTTATTTTGTTGCAAAGGAATAAAGGAGTGCTTCACAGGATCTAACTAAATGAACTGTGCAAATACAGGAAGCTGTCTTATATTTGATTACTGATATGTGCAAAATGGTTGCCTATTATACGCCAAGCAAAGCAACTGAAGGCAGGGGATACTGCCAAATCCCTCAGAACAAACAAAAGAAATGTCAAAGCAACAGAGGGTGGTATGTCCTGGTCTGGGATACTGTTAAAGCACTGTGTCACAGTTTAACTGGCAGAGAATTTTTTCTTTCTTAATGGTCTGTAAAATAAGTGTATTTCATAATCAGTGTATCTTCATAGTTAAAAAGTATGCATTAACACCTAAAGATCAGAAATCATTCTTTGAACTGGGTGTGGTGGTGGATGTCTGTACTCCCAGTGCTTGGGAGGCTGAAGCAGGAGGATCATCACCAGGAGTTTGAAGTCAACCTGAGCTATATAGTGAATTTAAAGTCAGCCTGAACTACAAAGCGAGACGTTATCTCAAAATAAACAAATCATTCTCTGAGAAAAAGAATTGTAAGATCAATTCCAAGTCAGTTAATAGTCATTCCTGGTGACTGACAGCTGTGTTGGGGGCACATGTCTCTCTTTTCACTGTTTCCACACATCGTAATCTAATGGTCCAAGATGATAAGTGATTTATCTTTGGAGACACAGCCACCCTCCCGGACCGCTGCAATTCTAGGTGGAAAATTACAGTTCCAGGGTAGTGCGCATTGCTGCGGTCTTAGAAGGGGAAGCAGAGGTAGAATAAGTGTTCAGCATAGTGAGCCTCCTTGGTCTTTCTGTTTTTCACGGAAACCCATCTTAGTGGGAAGATGTAAAGCCTGTTTCTTGTGTGGAATTCTTATTGATCTAAAACGTCAAAAAACAAAAAAAAAAAGCAGGGACAGGCATGGGCGGGGGGGATACTGGCATGGTGTGGAGTGCAGGAGGCCAAGGTAAACTTCACCGGCCAAATGGAATTTCTAAAAGCCCAGTGGTGTTTAAAAAGTATTTGTAAGAACAAGCCAACACATGCCTTTATCCATAGGACTAACTCACAGCAAGCAAGTCAGCATTTCTCTGCTTTGGTCCAGTTAACAACAATTACCAGGTAATTATTCCTCACCTAATATCTGGCTCACTGAAACATATTCTGTCCTACAACTAGAGCTTCGTCAGCACTTGAGGGTTTTTTCAGCAGGAACAAGGAAACTAAAGACACAAAGAATATATGCCATCTGAACCTATGCTCTTTACTTACAGGTTATTAAAATTACAGATAAGGGCTGGAAATGTAGCTCAGTGGTACGGTATGTGCTCAGTATGCATGAGGGCTCAGGTTTGATCCCAATTTCAGAAACATACAAATAAAACAAAGCAAGCAAACAAACAAACACAAACTAAACAGGATTCAGTTCAAGGTACTCTTTGGGAAGACCTTCAAGAATTAGAGGGAAGGAAGGTTAAAAGGAAGAAAAGAAGGTGTTTTGAACTCAGATATTCTTAAACAGACATTTCATTTTAAAGGAATAAATCTAACTCCAAATTGCTATATGAATGTTTAATAGCAACTGACTTAGAAGAAAAATTTCAGAACCGGAAGCAGTGGTGAATGTCTGTAATTCCAGCACTCAGGAGGCTGAGGCAGGAGGATCTCTGTGAGTTCGAGACCAGCCTGGGCTACAAAATAAGTTCAAGGCCAGCCTGAACTGCATAGTGAAACCCTGCCTCAAAAACAAACAAACAAACAACAAAAAAAAAACAAAAAAATCAACAACAAATAATCAGCAGTCCCATTCCAACAATTTTGAGTTGATTCTAATAAAAAAAATAAATCTGTAGGTCACAATGGTCACTAAATGAATAATAAGGAAAGTAACCTAAAAATATTCACAGTCTTTTACAGTTGGTCCATATAAGATAGTACTGTATGACTACAGGCTGGTATTTGCTAACCATCACAGCTATAATTAATGAATGGGATCAAACAACAAATAAGTAAGTCAGAAACACTACATGGCTGGCTCAAATGTAGTTATGATTCAGACAGTCTTAAAATTATGTTTCTTAAAAACAGTTTCTTAAAAAAGTTTAAAATATGCCAATTAAATGTAACCAAGTAAAAGAATTCATATTAAAGGATTAATGATTTGTTAAGACGATGTTAATAATCTGCCAATATTAGTATTTTGTCCAAAGCACCTCCCAGAAATCAAAACAACACCCTCACTGTGTAAACAGAGTAGCTTTGGTTGAGAAAGGGCAATAGGCCTGGTGGCAGCACATGCAGCTATTTATTGGTTTTGCTCCATGTGTGGTGTCTTAATGCCAATAAACATACTCTGCTCTTCCAGCCATCTGGTGCTTAAGGATGTGGTTACAAATGGTTGTTATTTTCTTTTACATAAACAAGAATAAAAGAGGGCCAGGGATATAGTTCAGCAGCACAAGCGCCTGCCTGGCAAGCACAATGTCCTGAGTTTGATTCCTGGTGCCAAAAAAAGTGAATAAAGAGACCTGGAACAAGCAATGACAAATCTAGCAGTATTATGTGTTAAAGTACATGGCTATTATCTGGAGCTAGGAATAGAACCAAGACTTACCATCACGTGGCTGGGCTGTGAGTCTGTCCTCCCTCTCCTCTTCTGACATTTCTCCCTTGTTCTCAGCCAACTGGTCAGGTTCTGATTGTGCAAGGACTTGTTTTTCACAGTCTGAGCTAGTTTGAAGTTTTTTGGAGGTGTTTTTTGGAGAATCGTCTTCATTTTTGTTTATAGCCTGGATAAGGTTGGGGCTGTCTACTTGTGGGATTATTAAAATAAAATAATTACCATTTAAAAGTATAGTTTAAAAATGTCATAGCTAGGTTTTGCAAAAAGAAACAGTTAATGATTCTTGTTCATTCTTTTAAAAAATTTACTGAGCATCTACTATTTTCCCAGCACTAGGAGCTAGGGAGACAGCACAGAACAAGGCAGGTAAGTCCCTGCTTCCTGGGGTTCCATTCTAAGTGGCAGAGGTAGACAAAAAGAGCATCATCACATGGACAGTCAAGCTGGATTTTTGTAGGAGAACTGGGGGCAGGGGAGAGTGGTAAGTAAAGGGTAGAATCCAAAAAAATTGAAGGAGAAATATTAGAATACTAATCCTGAAGTGCTGCGGGGCCAGATTCTCAGAGTTCCACGTCAGTTCAGATCTGCTCATGTACCTAGAAGCCTAGCCCAGAAGCTTATATCCTTGGATTCAATTCTGACTCCATTAGAGAGTTTTAGGCACAAGAATAATGATGATTTACTCTGGCTGCAGTGCAAAAAGATCACAGCATTCTTGTTCAAGACTACAATGGTGACTACCGAGATCTGAGAAAAAGAATTACGATGACTTTCCAGCAGGAGGGCAGCACTAAAGAGAAAGTGCTTGAAATCGAGGTTCATTTTGGAGGTTATATGATAGATCGAGTGTTGGAGGCAAAGCAGAGATATTGCCTAAGTTTTTAGCATGATGCAGGGAAGACTGGGGAGAAGATTTGGGTGTTAGATGTGATGATGGTAACAAACAAGAATTCCATTCTGGATGTATTAAGCTTGAGGTTCCCATTAGACATCCAGGTGGAGATGTTAGTTACATAGGCCACTGGACATGTCCAGTCTGGAGTTCAAGTGAGAGAGATACATCTGGCAATTTGAGCTACAAGGTGTTAGGAATAAACTACAGATGTTAAAAACAAAGCGAAGAGTTACATGCTGATAAATATTAGCATTCAATGTATACAGTACCATATCACATTTTCTCTAATGTATTAAGAGAAAAAATTAGCAATTTTTACATACTCTATTATTCTAATATTGCTCCTTTAATTTTTTGGACTCCACCCTTTCCTCAAAGACTTCTACAGGCTAGGTGTGGTGGTGGACGCCTGTAATCCCAGCACTCAGGAGGCTGAGGCAGGAGGATCATTGCGAGTTTGAGACCAGCCTGGGCTACAAAGTGAGCTCAAGGCCAGCCTGAACTGCATAGCGAAACCCTGTCTCAAAAAGACCAAAAAAAAAAAAAGAAGACTTACATGGAAGGCACTATTAAAAAGGAGATGAATCAAAATTATTTCTACTTTTCAATGCTTCTGGTATACATCAAATTAAGTTTGGAAATCATTATGCCAAATTGTAGTAACATAAATCTAATTATTTTAACACTAACAGCCGGGCGTGGTGGTGCACACCTGTAATCCCAGCACTCGGGAGGCTGAGGCAGGAGGATCTTTGCGAGTTCAAGACCAGCCTGGGCTACAAAGTGAGCTCGAGTTCAGCCTGAACTGCATAGTGAGACCCTGTCTCAAAAAGACCAAAAAAAAAAAAAAAAAAAAAAAAAAAAAAATCCTAAATTATAACACTAACATACAGTAATATCACAGTTATTTAAAATATTTACTTTTCTCTAACTAGACTTTCATATTCAAAAAGATAGTTTATTTGCTTTTTAAAGTTGCTTGACAACTTATTACATCATGGGTCTAGGAACTTTCACTGTTGTTCCTAGTATCACAAAGGAAAAGTCAGAACTACAAAGTCCATATTAAACTATGATTTTTCTTGCTAAATCAGTTAATGTATACACTTATGTGAACAGGCATTATTTTATAGTTGTGATCTATTTTATTTTTATTGCCAGTAGCCATTGGGAATTGTATGGGGTCATGCTAATTGTCACAGGGATAGTATGTAGAAGAAGCTTGTGGTTCCAATTTACTTCACAGACAACAGGTGTCCACATTACAAATATAACCACCCAGATGGCAGACTTGTCAATTTTGGTAGGAGCACCCACAAGTGAAAGAGAAAAAGCTTAGCTACTGATTACATTTTCCTTCAGATCAAAACTAAGAGAGGAGAGCAAGGCAGGAAAGAATTACAGTATCTGGGTTTATATTGGGCTTTCTTATGTAGATATTCCAAATAATTAATGTATAATTGAAAATTAGTTGTGAGCAATCATTACTACTGATAAATAAAATGAGTATCTTTAGATTCCAAAACTGACAATTTGACACTTTTCATTAGCATAAAAATCCTCTCTAAAATTGGAAACAAAAATACTAATGATCTTTTTCTTACAAACATGGGTATTAATAAACATTTCAGACACTAAACATCAGGAAATGGGATATCTCGCTATAAAAACATACTTAAGATAGGTTTATGATTGCTAACTTTAAGGTAATGTTTTAGAAAGGTAGAAACTCATAAAGTGGACATCAAATTAGCTCCTTAACCTTTCAGAGTTTTTAGTTGTCAAGCAAAAACATAGCACGATGTAGACTGAGTAGGCAAAGAAACAACACTGAGTTATTTTGCTATTTAAACAAAAATAATCTATAATTTCCTTAAAAACAAGTATCTCTACAGAGGAAAGAAAACAGCAGGACTATGACGGTAAAGCATATTTGCTACCATAGCAACAGAGCTTCTATTCCTGCCCACTCTATTCACATCCTGTTGACATTAATCAAAAATGTTCATTTGTGCCAAATTAATGTCATATCACAGACACTTGAGGATATACATTCTTGACAGAATCAGTAGCTTTTCACATTCCACAAGGGATAGACTCAGTCTTCGGTATGGGAATTCTTACTCCATTTTACAAGCTAAATCAATGCTGAGTCACACTCACCTTTGGTACAGGAGTCTCTAAAAGCACTGCTATCTGAAGATACTGCTGCTAGCCCTACCTCCATGGTCACCTTGCTTGTACTCACCAGCACTGCCTTGAGGATTCTCACACATTTCACAATAAGGTAGCACTGAATTATTGATATAGGTGCAGAAATTACACTGCCAGCCCTTCTCAGGAACGGATGGGGTAGCTGATGGAGACGTGGCTTCGTGGACACCTTCCACGACTGCAGCTTCAGTTTGTTTGGCCCAGGGTGGTTTCTTGTCCAGGAGACTGCTGCAGTCATTGGTGGCAACTGATTTCAGTCTTTTAGCTTCAGGTTCAAAATCACTTTCAAGAATATCTCTTGTATCTATTTTTCTAGGGTCTGATGCCAATATAGTATGTTTCTCTTGGAATATCCTTGATTCATCACAGGAGGTCTCCGACTGTCTTTTTTTAGGTTTTGGTAAAAAGAATGACCGAATATCATGCTGTTTTTCTTTTTCAAACTAGGAAAGAAAACAGTTACCAAATTAAGAAGCAATTGCTCTTCCTAAATGAAAGAGTTTAACAAAACATTTTCAATAACTGTATTGCCTTATCCTTTGAAAATCTTTCAAAAAATGAACTTAATTATACTATGACTATATATATCATTACCACATCCATGTATTTCCTGCCTTCCTACTTAGCACTTACATTCCAACCACTTTGTATATATTAACTCATTTAATCCTCATGCCACCTCTATGAGGTAGGTGCTATTTATTATTCTTATACTTGAGATGAGGAAATTGAAGCTTTAGTGAGGTCAGGTAACTTGGCTAGAGAAGTTATGAAATGAAATATACTTCATAAACTATCTGTCCTAGATGTATGTCAGAGAAAAGGGACAATTAAATATTTTGTCAATCAATAACCTAGAAAAATGCTTTCAGCCCAAAGTATGAACACAGTATTTACAATGTCAGTCATATTAAATGTTAACTTGACCAGGAAGCACCAGGAATCATAATAGTCCAAAATATCTTTAGAACTATCAATTAGAATAGCTTTTTTTTTTTTTTTTCTTGTGCCGGGAATCAAACTCAGGGCACTTGCTGGATAGGTGCTGTGCCACTGAGCTATATCCCCAGCCCCATTATAGCCTTTTTAATACATACATTTTAATAATTGTTCTTGCTTTTAAAACTATAACTTCTGTGGCCATAGCTGGGGCTTTGGATGTGGAAGATTTCGTGTAAAAATATAACTTCTTTTAGCTAAGAGTACTTATAGCACGATCTCATATTTTTCATTTTCTTTTTAATGAGGAAATCTCAATTTCCTCATTAGAGAAAGTAGGATAGTTATCACCATGATTGAGTAGCTGGTAGTAAAGTTAAAAGAGTTAATTTATAGAAGCCCTGCCAGAGGCTGCATTTGCGGGGAACTATGTTGGACGTCCTCTGCGGCAGACTGTATTTCCAAAGATGGCCACATCGGTTCTTATCCTGTTAATGTGCCCTTTTCACAGTGCCATGCTGACACGCTTCCATGGAGAAGTAGGGTCTGTGTTCTTTTTGCTTGAACCTGGGTGGACCTCTGTAACAGTCTCATTCTTCAGTGTTCAGTTAAAGTGATTGTAGGTGACATGTTTGTTCACTGAAGGTGATATGGCTTCCACTTGGCTGGCTCCCTACTCACCCTTCCTCTCTTTCTCTAATGGGACATCTGCCCTGGAGCCTGCCACCATGTGTGGGGAAGGCCACGCCATGGAGGAACCATGTACGGGTGTTTCAGCTGACAGGATAAGAAAGGCCCACAGGAGCAGCTAGCATCAATTTCCAGACATGTAAGTGAACAAGCTTTCAGATGAGTGTAGACCCCCGTCTCTGGATCTTCTAGCAAAGGCCTCAGTCATGCTGGAGTAGACATGTCATCACTGTTGTGTCCTAGTGTAATCTGTACCCACTGAGAAATAATATACAGCTACTTTATTTTTTTTTTTAATTTTGAGACAGGGTTTCGCCATGTAGTTCTGTCTGGCCTAGACTCACTTTGTAACTCAGGATGGCCTCGAACTCGAGACAGTCCTCCTGTCTCAGCCTCCCAAGTGCTGGGATTACAGGCATGTGCCATCACATCTGGCTCTGGCTATTGTTTTAAGAAACCAAGTTTTGGAATAATTTGTAATGGAGTAATAATAAAGTCACTACTGATAAGGGTAGCAAAATACTATATAACTATAAAATGATATTTTATATAATGAATCTTATCTACACATCTTAGTAGTACTATACAATAAAGATTTAGCAAATCCATAGAGAAAGAAAGATTAATGGTTACTGGGGCTACAGGAAGAGGAAATGGGCAGTTTTTGCTAAATGACTGCAGAGACTCAATTTGGGGCAGGGAAACAGTTTTGGAATACTGGTGATTGCATGTTGTGAATATGATTAACACTACTGAATTGCAATCTAAAAATGGCTAAAGTGGCAAATTTTATGTTACAATAAAAATTTCCAAAAATAGAAAAAAGAAACACAGGGAATAAGAAAAATTTAAGCTGTTTCCACATTGGTAAAATTAAAACATATATATCATAGCATAAAATTCTCCCCCACCCCCACCAACAAAGGCCATTTATTTTTATTGTTACTTATATATTTTCAAACATTATAAAAATTATCTAATTAGATGCTAAATTAGATATAGGAACTAAACAGAAATTTAAAGACACCTTAAGATAATAAAAAGAGAAATTTAAAGAATGAAATCATTAACCATGAAACAAGATTTCTGAGACACTATATACAGGAAATTATTAGAAAAGGGTAGAGAAAAGCAGAGAGATTACCAGTGGGGGAAAAGGTAACAGACAGTTAAACATTAAAAAACAAAAAATTGCTCTATATAATAAAACTGTGAAGAAAGTTTGTAGGAGTTTGAAAATATTAGCAAATGTTCAACAAAGATAAATTCTATCAGTTATTTTTGGTTAGATCATGCTGATTGTACAGGGGAGGCAAACTTCCTGAGTCCTTGCTCGCCTGGAAGTTGATTTTCACCCCATCCTTAGTAGTTTTGCTTAATCCTTAAAGACAATGCTTTGTTTCTTCCAACATGGTCATGCTGACAATGCTGTTTCTCTGTAGGTTACCAATTCTTCACATCTAAGAAGGTTTCAGGAACTTCTATCTCTAGTGTTCTAAATTTCATGATGATCTATATGTATATATTTATGAAGTATCTTTAGTTGCACTGTTAGGGTTGCCTGGCCGTTCTAAATCAATTCAAAATGTTTACCTTTCATGATCATTTTGACTTTGGGCAAGAACCATAAGTTGCACAGTGCCAAATCCAGTGAATAAGGTAGAAGAGGACCCACTGTCATGATTTTATGATTCTATCTTTCCTTTGGATGGCACTAGGCAGCAGCATTCTTTGTATTTTTTAAATAACACCTTGTAAACATACAAAAGAGGACTTCCAGAACTGCTTCAGAGGAGAGAACTTGAGGAACTGGGGATGACGTTCAAGCATGGATCAAAGCAGAGAAGGATGTACAAAAAAGGTCAGCAGTGTGAATATTGACAAACTTATAAAGGATTTCTCACATACAGAAAAGGGTCTTACTGTGTGGCCCCGGGTATCAAGAACTACTGAGCTCATGAGGTTATCTTGCCTCAGCCACCTGGGAGCTGGAACTACAGAAAATAATAGAAACCAGTGGAAAGAATAACGTACTGGAGATGCAGTTGGAAAAGACCACTTATTTATTAAAAGTAATCCAAACAAAGGAAGTCTCATTTAAAAAAGAACGTGCTGCTCTTCACGATATGACAAATAAAATGGCTACAACAAATATATGGCTACAACAGACTACTGAATATCAACATAATTTGAAAGGTGAAAACGTTTGTTTTTTGTTTTTCTTCCGGTACCAGGAATTGAACTCACGACCTTGCACTTGCCAGGCAGGCGCTTTGCTGCTGAGCTAAATTCCCAGCCCCGGAAAGGTGAAGATGAACAACTAAAAAGAAATGCTGATATGACAAAGGAAAAGCTAAAACCTTGAGAACAGGAATATAAGAATAATATCACCAAACTTGCACATGAAATGAAAATCAAAGAGAAGGAACAGTAGATAGAAATAAGCAGACTTCATCAACATACGCAGAAAACAGTTGAATTAAATGAAGAAAAGCACAAAGATCCAATAAAGAAACAGGAGATGGAAATTTCAGAGTTAAATGCAAAGTTAGTAACTCAAGAAAAGGAAAAGCAAAATGAAATAATCAAACTACAGCTGGAGTTTGATGCCAAACTAGCAAAAGTTCAGACTAAATCAAAACCCTATCCAGATGCTACTGTTTCCCCACAAAGTAGCTACAGAAGGAAGTTGCAACATCTTCAAGAAGAAAAAAACAAGGAAATTGCAATTCTTCCACGATTCTTCAAATTTGATTCTTCAAATACCATCCAGGATGTGGAGCTGCACCTTTCTATTGGCAAAGATCCTCACCTTAAGTGTAAACAATTTTGAGTATAACAGTAAATTCATTAATTAGTATTTACCTTTTTAAAAGCATTTGAAAAATTTACTTCCATTTTCAACATAAGTCTAAATAATAAAAAAAGAGACACTTTAAAGATTTGTATTAAATTTATTTAGTCAGATCCATACACTGGCCGATCACGTACTATATTCTTGCTTAACGGTATTAGCCACAAAGAAGTTCAGGTTTATAGGGTTTAGTTTACCTATTAAACCATCACTGACTATGGAAACACTCTCTAAGCAGTCTAAAGATAGACATTTCTTTCTTTTTCCTTATACCCACTCAAAATTCAGAAGTATGATATAATGATAGATAAAGAAAATAAGATACAAAGATTTTGAGTAAAAATAAAGAGCCTTAGGTATAGAAAAATTAAAGGACATTTAAAAATGACATATGCCTTTTAAGCAAAATATTCATGTGCCAAGAAATAAAATTCACTTCTTTCTCTAAATGTTTAATCAGTTTAAAATGTAAGATTAAAAAGACAAAGATAATATGCTTTTGAGATGAATAAAGAAAAAATGGAAAAAAAAAACCTGCTTCAGAGAGTGTAAGAATGAAGGAATAAATGTGTTCAAAGCAAGGAGGAGTATTTTCAGAGGGATTAATAGCAATGTGTCTCTTACTGTAATAAATTTTAAAAATTTAAATATACACCATATATTTGAATCATTTTGTATATTCCCTAACAATTTTGCTCAGCACTAAGATACCTTATTAATTTTGAATAATATCAGTTGACTTTAGTGCTTGGACATTTATTCTTTGGTAGTTTTTTCTTTTTCATTTTCTTTTTGTCTGGGATTCTTGTTAGCTTAGTGTTGGACCTAAAACATTTTTGTTTATCTTTCATATATCCCTTCTTTTTGTCTTTTTGTCCACTAAATTCCTGGGATTTTCTTCTATTTATCTTTCAGCTTTTCTATAGAATTATTTTACTTTGGTGGTCATATGTTTAATGC